GATTTTTAATGAATTTCTATTTTGTAATTCACCCAGATATACATGTACAATTGTACATAGGTACGTGTATGTATTACTACAATTTGTGATCTTATTCTTCTCATTTGTTCTCTTCCTTTTTCCTCCTCTCTTCCTCAGTATTCCTGTTGGTTGTACATTACTAGGAGGTCTTTTCCTTTATGATATATTTTGGGTAATTTCAATTTTCCTCCCTTCTTCTCAAATTTATCTAATTCCATTCCAGGTTTTTGGAACAGATGTCATGGTAACTGTAGCTAAATCCTTTGACGCTCCAATCAAATGTAACGAAACCCAAGTCATGTGACTATCATGTGACCCTGCCTTTCCTTATATAGTGATGGTTCCATTGGATCTTCCCGAGAATGGAATGGACGCTTCAAATTTTGGGATGCTTGGCCTAGGGGATATTGTTATACCAGGTATGGAAACCTCTTTTAGTGTTTAATAATTTTTATTCATTTTTTGCAGGACTTTTTATTGCCCTCCTTTGTCGATTTGATTTTAAGTAAGTCACCAATTAAAAATTTTGATTGACTTTCTGCTTTTTTTGTAGCCACCACCCATCAAAATTTAGAGGTTACTTCTACACCAGTTTCATAGCTTACATCATTGGTCTCGGGACCACCATTGCCATCATGCACATATTCAAGGCAGCACAACCAGCTCTACTGTATCTGGTACCAACCTGTGTTGGTCTTCCTCTTGTACTGGCCTTGATCAGAGGGGAACTTGGACCACTTTTTGCGTAAGCCATATTAGGACATTGTTAATGTCACCATTATGTGTACACAATGGGGCACAGCATAACATGTAGTCAAAGACATTTGTATTTGTAAATTAACAATGTTACTATTGAGTCTTAACATGTACCCCATAATGGTGCCCCTAACATCATAACATAATGTTCAAGCCTTCAAGGTCTTGTGTACTTGTAAATGTACAATGTCACTATTGAGTCTTAACATGTGTACCATCACAATGCTACAAGGTGTGTCCAACATCATAACATGTGTCCA